CAAACTGGTGTAGCATATGGCCGCCATAGATCTGTAACCTACTTTCGTGGTTCTATAATTATGTCATGACGATACGGCAAATAATACTAGCCGGTTAACCGCCGTGCTATAGGTCGAACTCAGCGAGTTCTGATCTTCTAGAAACCGCTAGATACACAGTAAATCGCAGTGTCCGCGAAATATGACGTTAGAAGCGTGAAATATATTCTTTTCAATGAAGAGTGAATTTTGATATTTCATATTCAACACAAAGTCTGATCTTGCCTGTCTGAATGAATACATATATATATATATATATATATATATATATATATATATATATATATATATATATATAATTACTGAAATTCGGTGACATATTGTATCAAATCAGTATGTGATTTTGAGAGAAAACTTGTTCATATCTTTACAAACATAGGAATATATAAAAAAGTATAAAATGAACGCTAAGATAGAAGAGAAACGCTTGTAATATGCTACATATACACGCACACGCATGGGTATTGACGTAACGTTGTTTGGCTTGATGATGAAGTTATTAAAACTACAAGACATTTCTCTTATCGGTATTTATTATATGATAACAATTTATCAGATACCTTATGTATGTTAGGTAAATATAACATACTAAAAAAATTGCTATGGTATTTAGATCATGTGAATTCTACGAATGAGTTGAATTAATGCTCCACGAAGCCCATGTCGACTGAAGCTGCAAACGTGAGATTATTTCTGGATTTTGTGATATTTGACGAAGGAAGAGGAAACAGTTCAAGTGTCTTTTTAAGGGGTCTGAAGGGTAATCCTTTGATGCAGCATGCCAAACCTGTGTTTACAACATCTCTTTCTTTGGCAGTAGCAGTCTTCATCATGCCAGGGAAGACGGGGATGTTAGTTGTGAACGCCCGAAGTCATTACTCTCAATTCAAACAAAGACATGCAAAATATAATGACACGGAAAGTAAGGATTGTATTTTTTTTATTGTTTTATTTGCTTTGTAATGGTCAACGTTTCGATCATAATTGATTCGCTCTTCACTCTAATTGTGTGACTTTACACCGGTCAAGGTCGACCGTCAACGTGTTTTCGCTGACATGCATGAAATCCCTCTATAATGATGGTTTGGAGTGAGACAAAGGACGGATTGTTGCTTTCTTTCGCGAATGCGTGACAACAATCCTATCGATTGCTATTGTAAAGGCTGCCAACCTGAAAACACTGCATCTCTTTTTTTATACCCCCTACCCCCCCCCCCCCCCCCCGTCCCTTTCACATTTTTTCCTTTGTCCGAATAGCTGTCAGGGGGAGGGGGGCTGTTGTTAGAGACAAATTAGTACATGCTAAACCCCTGCCCCCACAACGCTACAGATACACATTTTTTTTCTATCCATCACACCCCTAATTAATATTTTGTTTTATTAAGGAAGCAGAACATTAGCTCATGTGTTATGATGTGTGTGAACGTCCTGGATTCAAGGATATTGTCGACGGTAGTCATAATGTATATTTGGTTTGTTTCACTTTTAAACTGAGTCAGAATATAAATGTACATTAGAACATTAGACAGAGCTGACCTCCGAGTTACGTGACCAAGAGACAACAACATCATCAACAACAACAACACACACACCCATGGCATCGCCTTGTGAATTAGTTTTACAGTAATTATCTGGGGAAATAATATGAAGACTTGTCGTTGAAGCTGTGAATCCTCCCCCATCCCTTTTCAGCGACGTCGGGCCAGTTCTCACGCCGGTGTCTACACCAGCCATCTGTCGTTCCTGCCATGGGGATGCACAAGCAAGGGTCGGGGGGTTGAGGGATACGGGGGATGCGAGAGGAGATGGGATGGGGTCACCGATAATGTGAGAAAACTGGAAGTTAAAAATACGTGATTTTTCATATAATGTTACATTTGCGACATGAAAGGTTATATAAGTTTAGAAAACTAAAAGAAATCCAATGTTGGGTTTTAAATTGTGGTATTTGGGAATACTAATAACGGCAATAACACAAACAAACAATGTTCAGGTATGCTGTCAGAAACGTTTTGATACCTAAAAAAACCACGAGTGTCCTAAACATTTACATTTCACCTTATGGTTTTACTTGACACAAGCTCGAGTTTGCTTTCAGGGATAACCACAAACGAAAGCCATTTTTCATTTATTTCTTCGTGAATTGTTTAAGATGACAGGCCGGCTGCACATATTAATATAGAATCGTTGATAGCCGAGAAATAAAAGGATAACGACGCATTTCCATACCAATAAAACAACATTGGCCGGAACATCAAAGGGCGCACTCCCGATTGAATGTACACTGCACCCCCCCATACATGTCACACGTCAATTGTGTCGCGAAGTGTGATAAATGGGAGCATCTGGCGAGAGGTGCACCTGCTCTTTATCAAATATAACTCACCTGTAATTAATTCGTCGGAGTTTCTTTGACGTGTGGGAAAACGATTCTTAACAAACAATTCTGTTCGAACCTATTGGTTCTTGACTATTAGTGTATTCCATATGCGAGAGTTGTGGGGGGTTGGGGGTGGGTGGTAGGTATATAGCCTGTATAAAGTATGTGTCTTAGCAGTAGGTGGTAGTAGTTAAAGTTAATATTTATACCAAAAGGACACTATACTTAAAAACCGAACTTTTTTATTTTGTAATTTATTTTGTAAAAAAGCAGTGATTTTTCAGCAATATTCTTATACAAACATCGCGAAAACACTTCTCATCTTTCGAAACAGCCTTGCACGATACACGTCAACGTTCGACTCGGAGTTCATACATCCTTACAGTTCTAAAGATTATATCAGCTTAGTGACAACACACTGCTGATCATACATCAATACACCAACCGTGCTTAACTTGTTGTCTTCCTATATGCACCGAACTATTAAATAATTATTACAACGCCTAACGTTATTTGAAAAGAAATACATAATTTATTGATACCAAGTCAACGCGTGTCCATGACAACAGTTATATTATTTTCCTGCTGTAGATGAAACGATAACGCTGAAACGACTGTTTTTAACACAGCCTGGGAACATTTCTCCTTGTGTTACACTCGGTTATTATACATTCCCAGCGAACCTGCAACAGGTGACGTATACAGGTAGCTATTAACCACTCTTATCGATACCGTAGTCGTAAGCTCTCAGGAACACGTCGCTGTTAGAGACGGCTTTTCTACAATGTGCACATTGTTTGTCTTGAAAGATTACAACTGATTTCACAATCTCAGAGGAGGTAAATTGCGTTCTGTGGTTTACAGTGCCTGAAGGGCAAGTATTTAAATTACTTTGTCAAAAGAAATTCAGTCATGTTTGGGTTTTGTTTCGAAATTATGTATAATGTTAACCTCATGTAACGTACATATCGCATTCGAGTGAAGCGCGTGATTAACTTTTGTATTGATGTGTTGTTATTTAAAGTATACTTGTTTTAAATAATGTCGAAAACATTACTTTGATGTTTAGAAGACATATCATTAGAGATATATACACAAAAGAAAGAAAAGGCAAATCAATAAAAATCACTTCTCATCTCTAATGATATGTCTTCTAATAATAATAGTAATGTGGATGATATGACCTTGATATTCAGTGTATATATCGCATTCAAACGAAAAGTGAAACCAACAGTCAAATGATATAATATTTGCTGCATTTCAAAACACATAACAAAAGTCTGCTCATACATTGATCGCTCGATAATTACAATGACATATGTTCTAACTGTAAGCAGCTTTGGAATAAATCACGTGTTGTATCGGGCATGTGGTTAGGTAATTTGATAGCTTCTATGTCTTTCGGGAAATTTACGTAAAACAAAAAGACTTGTGTCTCATACAATGCAAGTAATTGTCATTGATTTGATATAAAGACGTCAGGGTCATCTCAAGGAAGACAAACGAGCGATATGAGTCACGTTGCACAGATCCTTTCCCAGACAAACTTGACTGGGCAAAGGGAGGTAACTCCGATTCTGTCATTCGCATGCAAGCTTCAATGCCACTCGCAATATCATACTGTTTTCGTGGATAGCTCTGTTTTGCATTGAGTCTTGATTATAGTGATACAATCATACACAAATACAAATATTTTATTCATTGTTTATTTCTTTGCCAGGGGTGTCTTAAAGGGACACGAGCGAGCGCTATTCATAGAGCTTATTTCATTTTTAATGTACATCGGGCAAAGAAGGAGTGGTTAGAAGTTGTGGTCAACGCATTGAACACTTTTCAGTATATATAATCATAAGGCACATCCCTCATGTCGTTATAGAGGACACATTTAGCTGTCTATTTTTAGCCCTGAAAATGACCAGCCCCTATTTGAAAGGTTTTCAGTGTTGGGAACTCTATTTGCAGACCCGATAAATGATACGAAGGTTTCTATGTATTAGAAACATTTGGACCCATAGATTATGGTAATACCGTGTAAATAATCTGTAATATTAGATACAACACATGTTCAATTCAAAACATTGTTCAGATAATTGGCCGTGCGACTATTTTAGAGATACATGTCAATAACGCGCGCGCGTGTGTGTGCGTGAGAGAGAGAGAGAGAGAGAGAGAGAGAGAGAGGGAGAGAGAGAGAGAGAAAAAGATGGAGAGAGAGGGAGAGAGAGCGAGAGAGCGAGAGAGAGATATAGAGAGGAGAGAGAGGAAGAGAGAGAGATTTGTTTATTAATGTCTCGCCTTTGTACATAAAATATAAAACATTGTTATTAACATATATACAATGATGTACAATAGCCAAAAATTAAGTTTTGCGAGACATTTACATAAATAATGTCATACAATATAAAAAAAAGTATGTCCCTTTACAGTTAGCCCCCATGGCACACCCCATGGTGTGTGGAGCATGTATATATACCTTCTTTTGTTAATATCTCTCATATCTGTCATATAGATTGTAGACAAAGTTATATACAAATGGCGCTGGTTGTTCCTCAACGGCTGGGGCTGGGCTACCTGCGGATGCAGCTGAGGCGGGTGCATCGAGAGCGAGACTTCCCGACTGCAGCCCTTATCCCCGAGGAACAGCGGCAGGCCCGACAGCAGAGAAGAAGAAGGACGATGTGGGTGAAGCCCTGGCTCTTGCGGCGTGTCACCCTGGGCCACTACGACAACCTGATGCAGGAGCTGGTGCTTGAACCCAGGGGTGACTTTAAGGCATTTCTGCGGATGGAAGCTGCAACTGGTCCTGGGCCGGGAACTGGGAGGCCGTGGGACGGGGCGGGAACATGGAAGGTGGAGCTGGGGATGGAGCTGGACACTGCTGACCACTCGTACATTGCCCCTCATCCGTTGGCTGATAGCGCTGGGCCAGGGCCAGGGTTTCCGTCTGGAACTGACGGAACTTCTCCTTTGGGCAGTTGCGCACCACCGTCTGGAGCCAGCTGCCCCACGCCTCTCGCTCGTCCGGTTGCCTGGTGGCGGATTCTTCCAACTGGGGGAGGGAGAAAACAAAAAGGAAAATGATGAAAACTGTTTCAATGCAAATTTCAAAAGACATAAGACATATGACACATGGCATTTCAAAGTACAGTTAAGGTTATCATGAACTAGGTTCTCATTTACCTTTTTCTCCGTTTCCCGGTCCCTTCTCCGGTTTTCCAGCAGCATCTTTATCAGAATCTCCATGACATCGGGCGTACTCTTTGAGCCCTTCTTCTTCCTGCTGCTGCTGGTGCTGCTGCTGCTGCTGCTGGCCCTGTCCCTGTTCCTCTTGGAAGCGGTGTCTTGGCTGTCACCACTGTTGCCCCTCTTCCGACCTTCAGCCCCTCTGTCCTCATCCTCATTGTCGGGAGCCACAAAGTCCTCCCGCGCCTCCACATCTTCATCGCCCTCGTCCTCGCCAGCAACCTGAAGCATCAGCATGAACAGTCTTTAAGTGACAAATGAAAGGAGGCAGAGAAAGGTGAATATTATGTAAATGCAACACTCAGGGTGTTCTGTCAAGGACTGACAAGGAGATGCACATTAAAATAGCGGTCTTCAATAAAGGTGCTGTCAGGGTCTGACAATATTAAGACAAAGAAGTGGGTCATTTGCACACAAACACATTCAATGCCAATGCTTACCCTTCCGAACTCCTGACCCTGGGTCCGCGGCTGAATGACCTCATCTAGATAGGCCAAGTTCCGCAGCTTCCACTCCTGTCGGCTGGTCAGCCTGCGGGACGCTTGGCCCCACTTCCCCGCAGATCCGGCCCGGTTCTTGAGCTTGCCATAGGCACTACGAAGGTTCTTGAACCTTCTCTTGATCTTCTCCACTGCAACCAAAAATAAATCACTTAGAAGGTGTCAGAGGAAAATGAATATTATGTATTTACACAATTCATGAATTTTTCATGTGACTTGGACAATTGAAATTGAAAATGCAATACAAATTAGTAATCTAAGAAATTTCAGGTGTCACATACAAGTGAATATAATAAGTATTTTTATCAATTCAGGAACTTGTTATGTGACTTTTACGGTTGAAAATGAAAACCCCCCAATACAAATCAGTAATTTAAGAATTACAGATATGAGTAAATCGTCAAAGTACCGAAAGTGCCAACTATGTACCAGGATTACTTTCACTACTGACCAGTCCACTTTATCTCCTTAGCCAGCTCCGCCAGTTCCGCCTCCTTCAGCTTGGTGTTGCGGTACTTCTCATGTCTCAGATTGTAGAAGTATGGATGGGCCTCATAGAACTCCACAATACGCTGGAGAGCTGGAGACTCATCCTCGTCCTCATCCTCTGCATCAGGCTCATGGTCCTGCTCTGGCTGTGTCTCTGCCCCCTCTGGCTGCTCCTCCGGGTCATCAGGGACTCGGTTGGTCTTCTTCTTGGCCTCCCCACCTTTTCCCTCCTCCTTTGCTGCTCTCTTCTTGGGAGGCATGGCGCAAAACTTGGGAAACTTTGTAATGAAATGTCTGTTGTGAAATGCCCTGATGTGTGTGGCAAACCCCTCCTTATACACTCCAGGTGTGTAGCGGTAGCGTCAGTCTGGTCGCACGGTCGTCATCTAGTCCCTCTGCGGCCGCCTTGCGGGTACCTTGCGTCTGCCTTGGTATTTGTCAAAAACCTACGGCCGCTGCAGGGACGCCCTAAGGCGACCGTGCGACATCACTTCAAAGGCCGTAAGGCAGCAGCAGGTTTTCTGTCTCCACAAATTCAACATATGCCGTGCGGCTACCCTTACATATGTGACTGCCACAGTATGTGACCGTAGGAATGCTACGGCGGCCCTATAATTGCTATTGGTCGTAAATGTTTTAGACCCCAAATGTAACTGAAGCATGGCCATCCGATCCACTTATGACATGCATGGGTTGCTGAAGGCCAGTTCTAACCCGGATCTTCATTGGGCCTAAATCTATAGTAACTGTATATTGATGGTCTTTTTCGCAAAGTTTTTTTTGGCAGGGATTTGTTTTGTTTGTTTGTTGTTTAACGGTTGGTTGCTTTACTCCGCAATATTCCAGCTATATGTCGGCGGTCTGGAAATAATCGAGTCTGGACCAGACAATCCAGTGACTGATACATGAGCATCGATCCACGCAATTGGGATACGATGACATGCATCAACCAAGTCAGCGATCCTGACCACCGGATCCCGTTAGTCGCCTCTTCCGACAAGCATAGTCGCCTCTTATGGGAAGCATTGGTTGCTGAAGACCTATTCAACCCCGGATCTTCAAGGGTCCCATACAAAACTAACATCTCGCTTCATCCCTGGGGGCACGGGCGGCCCAGTCGTCTGGGGCGCCGCGACTGTGCAGAGTTGCGTCCCTTGGGCACGCAAGAAATCTATGATTGTGGGTTCCAATCCCGGTTCACCCCAATTATGTTTCTTGGTTTGTCACCACCATACCCGTGGACGTGGGTTTCACCGAAGTGGTAAACGTCTGAGACCTGCATCACTTGGGGCTTTCCTCCCACATTAAGCTGACGGGACGCGATATAACTGGAATACTGTTAAAAGCGGCGTTAACCCCAACTCACTCATCACTCACTCACTCACTTCATCGCTATACCTCACCATACACCTCACTGCTCTTCCCTACATCTCAAGACCTGTGAAGATCTGGGGTAGAATAGGTCTTCAGCAACCCATTCTTGCCGTAAAAGGCGACTATGCTTGTCGTAAAAGGCGACTAACTACATCTCAAAATACATCACCACATACACTTCACCATGTAAAGAAATCTATGTGTGTTGCATGGGTAGAATTTTTTTAATTGGGCCCACCATTAGAAACCCAAGGAGCCCCTGAATAGAGACTCCTGAATAGGGGCCCCTGAATAGAGGCCCTTATCTTGAGGCCAAACGACCCCTGAATAGAGGCCCTTATCTTGAGGCCAAACGGCCCCTGAATAGAGGCCCTTATCTTGAGGCCAAACGGCCCCTGAATAGAGGCCCTTATCTAGAGGCCAAACGGCCCCTGAGTAGAGGCTCTTTTTGTAGAGACCCAAGAGGCCTCTGACTAGAGGCCCTTATGTAGGGATTTAAGAGGCCCTAGAATTGAAGTGGAGCCTTGAGGGCCTCTGAGTAGATGCCTCAGAGTTGAGGTCCCTTAATAGAGGCTCATGAGGCTCTTGTGTAGAGGCTGCTGGGTAGAGGCCTAGGAGGCCCCTGAATGGATGCCTCAGATGTCCTTAAGTAGTGGCTCATTTGTTGAGGTCAAAGAGACTTTTGAGTTGAGGCCGTGAAGGCCAATTGACACCCCCCAAAAGGCCATTGAGTGAATGCCATAGAGGCCCTTTAATGTGGCCAATAGGCCCCTGATCCCTTGAGCAGTGTTAAAACGGACTGGTGTTTTCGGGTATGTTGGAGGGCTGATACTTCCCTGGATCTTCACTGAGATTCGGGCAGAGAATATCCAGTTCCCCAGTCCCAAAAGCAGATGTTTTACTCGGATACAATATACCTCTCTGCAGAGAGGCGGAGAAACGGATCTGATCTTGATGAGATTCCCCAGTTACCAAACATTAATGAGAATCGGCTGACAGGCTGATTATACATGTCAACGTGACCCGAAGGTTAACCTGTAGCCTACTGACCCGGACTCGATTATTCTCAATGATGCAACTAGAATATTGCTGAGCGCGGCGTTAAACAGCTTTAACCCACCCAATAATATTAAAAACCTGTAACAAAACCGAACCACTTAAAACAAGTCAAGTAATGTGAGGTGATATTGAGATGTAATTTATAAATTAATCACAATAACAAATATTGCACATGTATATATGTTTAGTTGAATTGAATACATTTACAAATGTTGACGGTTTAAATGTGTAACCTATATCATAAATCGCAAGATTCAGCACTACATTGTCAATGATTGTCTGTAAATATTCCAGTGTTTCCACTCTGTAGCAGTGCACCATGTATTTTATGAAACCAAAACCAATCTAGATAATAGAAAAGCAAGTCGAGCCAGCTCTATTCCACCAGTCTCTACCTCACTCTATCTCACGAGAGCATCAGGAGAGAATTATTTTGTGTAATAAAAGATTTCATATAGAATATTGTGTGTACAGGGCTCTGTTTAACAAAGCGATCTGTTAAAGAATGATTGTCTGTTGCCGCACAAAATTCAAACTATATGGAGGCTGTATATCTGTAATCTCTCGGGCCTCCATTGTATTGAGAAGGAGTGTGTTTACTTCTCGGCGTCATCTAGGAGAATATACGTCGCAGTCATGTTCTGGAATATTCCAAGTCCCAAGCCCTGTCCCATTCACACACACGCTGTGCGCTCCGTGTAGTGCTGTATGCATTGTTGATGTATGACGAGAGTCATCGATATATTTAGTCGAGGCAGGGATATCAGTGTATTCTGGGCGTTGATGCAACATTTTATATCATTGCTTTGATCTATATTTTATAGGGGAATGATTGCACTTGATGGTTCTGTTTAATGTGAATTCATGCTGTTTTTTTTAGTCTGTGAAATGTGAATGTTTGAGTTATTGAACGTAAAATAATTTCGCATCCATAACTTTAAATGGGGAAATACCTTTTGTGGAAGATGCACGTTTCTTGAAATAAGCTGTGATAGGTCACATACGGATGACAGTGTGTATGTCTTTGTCTACTGTTTGTCAAGGTTCGGCCCCAGGTAGTCTGTCTTACAGACCCTGATACAAATATATCAAAAACAGCCAATGCAAGTCTATAATGTTTGGCAAGTCTTACAGACCCTCATACAAATATATCAAAAACAGCCAATGCAAGTCTATAATGTTCGGCAAGTTTTACAGACCCTGATACAAATATATCAAAAACAGCCAATGCAAGTCTATAAGGTTTGGCAAGTCTTACAGACCCTCATACAAATATATCAAAAACAGCCAATGCAAGTCTATAATGTTCGGCAAGTTTTACAGACCCTGATACAAATATATCAAAAACAGCCCACGCAAGTCTATAATGTTTGGCAAGTCTAGATTACTGCAGTATCAGGAAATGAAGAGATTCTCTGGGCTCTTTTTTATTTTATTTCTATTAAGATAATTGAACAACTGTTTTTCTGTACGATATCTTCTAGATGTTAGTCTAGGGCCCAGGTTATGTTGGGATTTTCGATCAGTTCTTTGAACAAAGGAATCAGAAAAAATGTCACTGTTGGCATAATTCAAGAGAAGGAATCTGAAGGAATTTATCGCTACTGTCTAAAAATTGAAGTAGAGCATTATAAAAAAAAGTTTACTCCCTCTTCGGTAAAATACCCCCGAAAACACACTTCTTGGTACATTCAGCTGCGTTGCTACATGTATATGAGAGTTGATGAATTGATCTGGTGCAGCCCAACTGTGGATACGGGTGAAACGGGTGAAACGTCTCTGTATTTGCTGAACTCATGTTTACTGAAACAACGGTGCACTCGCTGAATTCACCAGATGTGTGACGAGAGATTAACACTTTCATTAAATTCGGCATTAAGGGCTTAAAATCGGAAGAATTCCTGGGACAGGTGTCAGCAACGCGGGGTCATTCCTCCCATCTATACCCATAAAAACGCCACCCGGCTTGCTTGTCGCGTGGGGGAGCAGGTAAATATGGCAATTGCTGTACCCGGGTCGACAGCACGTCCTTCCGATCTTTGTTTGGTGTCAGTGCCGCCGCGGAACACAGCATAACACCCCCCACACCCACACCCCCCAGCTCTTTTGAAACGTCCCCCTAATGCGGAGAACAAACAACCCTTGTCGGGAGGCAGGCCAGCACGCTTGACCGGTTCCAGGGACTCAATGGGTCCGCGTGGGTGACACGCGGCCCCGCTCGGATAACGGTTCATTGAATAGCGGGGGGTGAGGGGGGTTTCTATGACCTCGCGTGGATGGGTCGCGTTACCTAGGGCAGGTGCTATCATCTGGAGGGATAGCTTTACAAGCCCTGTAGGAGTATGCTCAGCCCCCCTCTCCCCCCCCCCTCTAAATCCTATTCCTATTCTTTTCTGACCCGCATTCGGGCGATCAAAAAACGTTTTACTGTTAGTTCGATGAAGTATTCTGGCAGCATCACGCCTGGCGTTTGCTATTAATAATAGATTTTCTCCCGTCTACCAGATTGGGTGGGACTTGAATAGAATAAAAGAACTTGATGTCCATGAAGATTGTTAAAGGATGGACGAGGCGCTTCAAAGTTCAGCCAGCCGGGTTGCAACCAGGGGTCATCTTTTGCCTAGGTCATCTTTTTAGACGCGGGGCCATCTGTGGGGATTTTGAGGGTGGTGTGAGAGCCGTTGTTCATAGCCGGATAGGGCAGACTGTGGAGTTCGTGTATATAGGTATACTCTTCCTGTGACAAGAACTGTACACGACCGCCTCAAAGGTCTAGTGGATAGAGCGTTTGTCCGGAGAGTGGAAGGTTGGGGTTCGATCCTCTGAC